AATGTTTCAAGAAGAAATAAAAGCAATTTTTCAGAGGTACGTCTCATTCTGGCCGAACAGATATTAATATTTTATCACTTTTTGCAAATACTAAATCTGACCATTATATTGGGAATTAATAAATAAGACAACTATTTGCGAGAAATGAAAGATTAACACCTGAATTTGAGACAAGAGATATAAAAAGGTATTAATTAACTTATAATGTTAAACTTATAGTCTATAATAGGAACCTCAGTTTCAGGTAGCAAAATGAGTAAAAAACTAAGCAGGTAAACCCTAGACAGAATAATTCATATATAATTCACTGAAAATTAATTCATTTATTGCCCCTTTAAAATTAATATAATGAATATAATATAATATAATGATTAAAATATTGACCCTTTATTAATATAATATATTGGCAATAGTTTTAAAATTGCTTTATGGGATTTTTCTGTCTGATAGAAACAATGTTATTTGAAAAATAAAATTTAGTAAAAAATAAGTTAAAAAAGGTAATTCCCTAAACTACCGGGTCTATAAGTTTGAAATTGAATACATTAGTTACTTTTTTAAAAATGTACTCAAAGTTCTAACATAAACACAACATTCAATACCTGAAAGACAGGAATTTAATGCATTTGTAGTGAACTAAAGGATACAAAAGCATCAAATTATACAAAAAGTACATTTGATTCAAACAAAATTTAATGTTTAATGTCTGATTGGAAAACCGGTTAAATGCGAGCCCCAACTGTCTCCTATATAAACAACACTTGTATTTCAATTGCAATTCAATTCATTGAACATTTTATACAACAAATGAGTTGTGAATATGAATTACAGATCCATTTGTATCTTTGTTGTGTGTGTTGTGAGCGCTTTAATCGGCGTCTCTTTGAGTGAACCCCAGAATCAAAGCAAAGCCAAGAATACCAGAAGAAACCCAAAGAATAGATCTCCTCTAAGACGCGATGGAGTGGTTCCCGATATCATTGATTCCGTGCCAAAGGATAAGATTACGGTATGAATACGGAATACTATACCAAATATATATAACTAAATATTCTTGATTTCACTTAATATAAGTTGTTATGAATTTTAGGTGAAGTATTCGTCAGGACTTGAAGTGAAGTTCGGCAATGAGTTGACACCGACTCAAGTGAAGACCAAACCGGTAGTGGACTGGCCCGCAGATAACAGCTCCTACTACACACTCGTGATGACAGATCCCGACGCTCCCAGTCGTGAAGATCCCATTTTTGGTCAATATAAGCACTGGTTGGTCATCAATATTCCCGGCAATGATGTGGCAAAGGGTCGCACATTAGCTAAGTATAAGGGTTCGGGACCACCGCAGGGCACTGGACTTCATAGATACATATTTTTAGTGTACAAACAGCCAGAGATTATTAACTCAACTGAGGCGACAGTGGCCAGTAATTCACTAACTGGTCGTCCATTGTTTAAAGTACGCGAATTCGCGAAGAAAAACAATTTGGGTGAACCCGCGGCCGTCAACTATTTTCAGGCTAAGTTTGATGGCACTCTCGGCTGATTATATTTGAGTACATCTACTGTATTATTCCGTATATTATTAATAATTCGTTTACGTAAAT